TGATTAAATCAGGGGTTACAACTGTTTAACTCTCAAACATTAATTAAGCATTGGATGTTTGCATGATGATAAAAGATTTATTGACTATGAGTATTCTAGAGGTTTACATGGGAGTAAATGAGTTACCATATACCATAAACTTGTACAATCATGATTGGTCCGCATTGGCTATGTGAATCCACCCCTTCCTTGTGTATGCTCAATAAAAGAAGCCTCCGGACTCTGTTCCGGGTCGGTTTCGTCCCGAAGGAAATTCGTGTCCGAGTCTTCTTTCCTCATTGGCTTCATGAACGACCTGCGGAGAAATCACATCTGGTGACCCCGACGTGATCCGTGCCGCCCACCTCATCTCACCCCCGGCTGGGAAAAGCCTCGCACTCAGGGCCAGCCGTCAGCAAACGGAGCACCCTCCCAATTCGTGAGTATGGGGTCGGGCTTCTCGAAGGAACAGGAAGCGCACCTTCGTGAGCTTCGGGATATCTGTAAATCTTCTAGGGTAATTACTCAGGCGACGGAAAAGTCGCTTCCCATTCCCCCTCAAAAGCATTTAATTGAATTATTGACTTATGCCAAAAATCATTGCCCAATATACCCAGAAAAGGGGTCTTTGAAACCCTCCTTATGGATAAAATTAGGCACCTACTTCCATGAGAAACCCCGAGCGCCTCCGGGCATTTTAACAACATGGCGTTTACTTGTCAAATGCCTCCAAATTCACGAGGAGGGTCTGGTCACGATCGCAGAGGCTGCGAAGCCTTTGCCGCCCTCCTTACCCCCCTCGGCCCCGCCGCCATATGAGGGCCCTGAAATTCATTTCGTGCCAGCCGCCTCAAAAAATCCCTCTCTTTCCCCACCCTCGCTAGGTCGCTCTATGCCTTGGCGGAGCACTTTTGCTGATGCTTTAGAAAAAGCGCAACTGGAAGGGGAAATGGATCTGGCTCAGCATTGCCTCCCTGTTGAATACACACCCAATCAGGCTAATCCACAGGGGCCTCAGGTCCCGGTTTACAAACCCATCTCCTTTAAAACTGTCAAGACGCTCAAAAATGCCATTTCTCTTTATGGCGTGCAATCCCTGTACACCAGGGGTTTAATTAGAAGCCTGTTAACTGGCTCTCCTATGGTGCTGGCAGATTGGCAATTGCTATTTGGCATGATCCTCACTCCCTCTCAATACGCTATATGGAATTCTGAATATTATAGGGAGGTTAACAAATTTGTAGCAAGGGACGCTCTCCCACAAAATGTGACCGCTGGGCATCTCAGGGCGGGCGATGGCTTTGATACCGGTCCCTTACAAGCCACCGCCCCTCGTGAAGCTCTGGACTTAGTGGGGCAGGCTGCGGCGGCCGCCTTCGAGAAGGTGGACGATGCAGGCAGCCCCACGGAGTCTTTCTCAAAAATAATGCAGGGTTCAAACGAGCCATACCCGGAGTTCATTGACAGGTTGCAAAAAGCATTGATCCGACAGATTGATAACGTAGAGGCCCGAGCTGAGTTGATGTTGAAATTGGCCATGGAATAGCAATAGCAATAGCAGTAGACTTATATACCGCTTCATAGGGCTTTCAGCCCTCTCTAAGCGATTTACAGAGAGTCAGCATATTGCCCCCAACAATCTGGGTCCTCATTTTACCCACCTCGGAAGGATGGAAGGCTGAGTCAACCCTGAGCCGGTGAGATTTGAACCGCTGAACTGCTGATCTAGCAGTAGCCTGCAGTGCTGCATTTAACCACTGCGCCACCTTGGCTCTGAGGAAAATGCTGATTGTGACTGTCAGAGAGTCCTCCGGCCCATTGCTGCCAACCCTGCTTCCACCCTGGCCGATTTTATCAAAGCGTGCCGGGTGGTTGGAACCCAGGCATGCCAAATGGAGGCTCTTGCAGTAGCATTGCAAACTACAAGCAGGAATGGTAATTGCTTTAATTGTGGGAAGCCCGGTCACTTCCGTAGTCAGTGTCGAGCGTCACGTCAACAACAAAACCCCGCGGCCAGGGGAACGGGCGTTCGTCTTGATGAAGGAACTAAGCCCAAAACGATCTGCCCCCGATGCAGAAAGGGTTTTCATTGGGCGAATCAATGCAGATCCAACCCAATACCAAACGCAGACCAGGGAAACTAGATGTGGGGCCTCCAGCTAGCCCCACTACAAAGGCTGAACCCACTCCACAGCGAATCCCCCTAAAAGCCTCAGAAATGATTTCTGTCGGTCTGCCGGGTCATAATTATTTTCTTCCGCTACGCTCTGATTCTCCGCTGCCTTTGCTACCGCTTTTGGTTTTCCCCGATAGGGATTTTGTTACCCAGGGCATTCTGGCTTCCCCTTTTCTAACCGATCCGAAGGATCTTACCTCCATCGGGTTAATCTTTAATATTAACACTCCTTTGACTATCCCAGCGGGCCAATTGATTGCTCACGCTATCCCTATCACCTCGGCTATGCAATGCCCTAACCCGGAGTTTTTTGCTATTGAACAGACCGTAAAAACGGCTAAGCCATATGCTACCTTCTTGCTTAATGGTAGACCTTTTACGGGTCTGCTTGACACAGGAGCGGATGTTACCGTCATTCGCTCGGATGAATGGCCTGCGGACTGGGATACTGAGCCTTCCCCCCCTGTTAGAGGGGTGGGGGGATCCCAGCCCGCCCGCACCAGTCGCCATTGGCTCACCGTGTCCTCTGCTAACACCTCCTCTATACTCTATCTTAAACCTGTTGTTCTGCCTCTCCATGTCAACTTGTGGGGACGAGACCTGATGTCTCGGTTGACTACCAGCCTCACTATTGAATGAATCTGCCTTCTCCTCTACGCCTTACCCTCACCTCTTCAACAGCAGTCTGGGTAGATCAATGGCCAATGCCCCTGGAAAAATCACACGCCTTAAAAATCCTCGTTCAGGAACAATTACAGGCGGGGCACTTAGAGCCTTCTATTAGTCCGTATAACACTCCAGTATTTGTGCTAAAGAAAAAATCTGGCAAATGGTGTTTGTTACAAGACCTGCGGGCTATTAATAAGATCATATAGCCTATGGGCCCCCTGCAATGTGGGCTACCCAACCCTAATCTAATACCCCAAAGTTATGATCTCATGGTCATTGATCTTAAGGACTGCTTTTTCTCTATCCCTTTACATCCTAAAGATAGGCAACTCTTTGCATTTACTCTTCTTGAGCCAAATAATTATATGCCTAATACTCATTATCAGTGGACTGTCCTCCCCCAGGGAATGCTTAACAGCCCCACTATGTGCCAGCATTACGTGCACCAAATCCTGCTGCCATTTCGGGAATCGCACACCCAGTTGTTAATATACCACTATATGGATGACATCCTGGTAGCAGCCCCCGGCCCAAAGGGCTCAGTCGAGGCCGTATTCCCAGAGCTCACCAGCATTCTCGAGCGGGGGGGATTGACAGTCGCCCCTGAAAAAATTCAAACCGCTTCACCGTTCTCATACTTGGGTCACTGTTTGTCACTGGCCAGGTCGGTTCCCACGTTACCCAGGATTATTCTCCCCAGGTTTACCACCAATTACAACAATATCTGGGAACAATCAATTGGGCACGCCCCTATATGGGGCTCACCACAAGCCAGTTGACCCCTCTATTTGCTGCGCTCAGTGGGGGAAAACACCCCGCTGACAAAATTGAGCTGGGAAAAGACCAACTTGCATCCTTACAGATAGTGCAGGAAGCGTTTAGAAAAAATTGGGTGGACCGCTGCATGGATAACACACCACTTGAATTGGTTGTTTTAAATACCCCATTGCTGCCCACAGGAGCGCTCATCCAAAAAACTAATACTAAGGTGCTAATAATGGAATGGCTACATCTAGCTCATACCCCAAGGAACACTATAGTGCCAAAAATTGATCAGATTGCTCAACTGATAATAAAGGGCCTTCTCCGCTCTAAATTGATGATTGGAAAAGAGCCAACTGTAATATATGTTCCTCTCCCACTTCACACATGGGAGCAATATTTGACCACCTCAGAGTCTTTGCAATGGGCAACGAATGAGTGGTGTGGGATGGTCTCCTGTCACCCCCCGAGTGATTTCCGCTTGAAACTCTTAATTCAGCTTCCGATCTCTGTCTCGCGACCTTGCTCATCCGCTCCTTTGCCTTCCGCCCCCACTGTCTTTGCGGATGGGGGAAAGACTCACGGAGCTTGCGCCTGGCTGCTAAATGGCTCTTGGGTTACCAGAACAACTGGTCCCCAAACCAGTGCGCAACGCTCAGAACTCTCAGCCGCTATTCTTGCATTTCAACACTTTTCCTCTGTGCCTTTTAACCTCATACTGGATAGCCTTTACGTTACTCAGATCGTAAAAACTATCCATGAAGCCTATATTTCCCCCTCCACTGACCCTGCTCTATTAAGTCTTTTCTTAGCACTACAGCAGCTTATAGCTACTCGTCACCACTCCTTTTTCGTGGCGCATATTCGCAGCCACCAGCCGTTCCCTGAGCCCCTTACATTGGGCAACGAACGGGCTGATGCTGCAGCCTCTGCTCTTTCTCTATCAACGGAGGTTTTTACTTTTTCTCAATCCACTCCATGGGAGAGCCATGCATACTTTCATCAGAATAAAAAGGCACTAATGAAACAATTCGGACCCTCCGCAGCTGAAGCTGCCGCAATTCTCCAACAATGCCCCACATGCAGCCAACAAG